GCCTTTTAGAAGTACTCTAAGATGTATTGTATTCAGACCCGATGATGATCTATCCGAACATCGTAAACATGCTCGGCGAGATGACCGTGGACGTGAACGCGTTGTGCCTGGATCGAAGTCAGACGTATATTCTTATGATAGAGGAGAGAGAGGTACTTTTGTTACAGTTGTTCTGAACGTAACCATGAGCACATTTCGATTCTTCAGTTTTGTCAATCTTTGAAGGCATTGGCCAACTACATAGCCCATTAACTTTGAAGCCATGAGTCGGAATTAGGTCCCAGAGCCAGTCCCTCTAGAGTGAGGAACAGGGTCCCCAAGGGCAGGAAGCACCGCCTACTGCGACTCAAAAGTGCGAGGCAGCGGCGCTAAGGCCTTGCCTTGTGTGCTGCCGTGCAACGTTTTTTGACATAATGACGTAATTGCGATTTCCATCCAGCGCAAAATTTTCCAACTTTGAAACCTTCAACGCTACCTTTCAGGTTGCCTCTTGCTATGTGCTCAACGCCGCCATCGCCCGTTGTAATCTGCCGAAAATCTACGACTGGGGCACGAAGACCGTCTACTTCCAACCGCAATCGAAAGGTGCCAACGACGAGAAGGCGTTTGTCGGATACATCTATTTCGGTGAGATTTCCATCGGATCCTCTTTTTTTTCTTATCTCATTCAACATTGTATTTCCAGTGCCGCCTACATTGGACCCTCAGAGATTGGATATAGGAAGCATTTACGAGTGGTACAAGAACCCGATGCCAAATTATGTGAGTAAGAGTAATCGATTCTAGAACACAAGCTGAGCAATCGTTTTCGTAGAAAGAAAGTGTCTATATGGCGCATCATTCAGGGTTAAACACGTAGGGGTTTTTAAGAACTGCAGGAGCGAGCAGGAAAGCAAAAGTTGCCGTAACGTCGGGGAGGTGGCACAAAATGCTGAAGATCCCATTTGATTGTACGAAGGAATTAGATCTTCTGAATTCGCTGAGTAGCTTTTAGCGCGGCAAATCAGAGTACAATAGGAGTGTAAATTTCTTGCCACATAAATGACTTCAAGGGCCAACAGTAAGGGTTCCGCCGCCAACCTTTCTGACAGCCGCGCGGGCGGAAATAAACGCAGTACTAATTTCAATACTCGGGTGTTTGTGAAAACGCCGCACATTTTTTCATTTTTTCTGTTCTCAACAATAAAATGGGTGAATCAAATGCGCATTCAATGGCGGTCCTGTAACTCAGAATACTGCCACGCTTTTACAGTGCATTCCTTCCGTCAAACGCGCTTACAGACTCGCTTCCTAAGGCAGCCAAGTAAACTGATTTCGTGCTTCTGGCAAATACTTCCCCAATATGGCTACCCTCTTTATCGTAATCGCTGCTTTTTTGACGGGGTTTTTCCTCGTTGATCGTATCTAACGTAAACCTCTGCATTGGTCACTCTCCGTCTGTGGGCTATTTGTATTCGGTTCTTTATACCGCATCAATGTCTGCGCTCTGAGGCTGTCTCCCTTCCCTTTGGCATTCTAAGCTGGATCAACCATTGCCCTCAATTCGTACACTCTAGCTTTTCACGACGGAGAGCATGAAATGGAAGGCTTCCGTTCTTTGATTTTTTTTGTATGGATGCTTATTTGTAGCAGGGGTAATATAATATAATAAATAGATCTCATATTCGTGATCAGGACCCTTGATAATCTTCTACGGAAAAGTTTCAGTGTAAACAGCAGAAGATATAGAGAAAGAACTAAAACGAACAAGATGGATGTCCCCTGGGGACAATGTCAGCCACTGGTGACTGCCATTGCGCAATCCCCTCTTGCCGCGCTGGTCCGAACGTGCAGAGAGCGAAAATCCCGCGCGGTCGCGAATGGGTTAAGCGACCGAAAGACAACTGTTTTTGTGAAGGACACAACCTAGTATGAGCATGGAGTTTTACTCGTAAGAAGTCACCTCATTTCAACCTTTGAGGACCATTGCAAAACATTAAAGCTCAAGGAACTGTTTCAAGCAGGGAACTTGTTTTAACAGCTGCTATTTCATATACACAAGTAGTTATGTTTGAGTTCGATGAAAACCTGTGATTATTACACCTTCTCTTTATCAGAAGGATGAGTCTACAGCCGTTCCCTCTATTATCCCTGGCCCACAGTAGTCCATCCACTTACATGTCATTCGAACTTCACTGAAATTGCCCATTAGTTGATGGCCGATCCACATGGTAGTCCGCGAAACTCACCAATCCCGATCCTGGTTCAACAATTTGAATCAAGTCGGCATGAGGATCTCGGACGATGCTCTTTACGGGGTCCAACTCGGTCTGTACGTGATCGGATACAGAGAGTACAAGGACGATGAGGTATCACTTCAATTGATCAATCCCTGCGTTGAATAATCAATCACTGATAATGCAGATCAAAAAATTCCGTCCCGAACATCGCACTTTGGCACGACTGGCGACGTACACGAATCGTAACAGCTACGAGTATCGGTGGAAGCCCCAGGAGGAGGTCATTAATCTCAATCAGGTAAAGGAGACCCTCAAACTTACCCTGCATACTTCCTTATATTCCGAGTCTATTCTTCTCAGGTTCAACAATGGTATATGGATGATTGGGAGCGCTGGAACACTCTGTACACGTACCGGGTCGGGTATCTGAAACTGGCCCCCATACGACCAAACGACCAGAACGGAACAGAATTGCTGTCTGGGTGAGTTCAAGAGGAATTTCTAACTCGTCATTCTGGAAACTATTCGAAATTTACAGAGTGTAGAAGGAGTGTTGGGGAAAATGCGTATTTCAATAATTACGCGTCTGCCACTGAAAAAGTTCCCACGATAGAACCCCAAACCATGGCGTCGTTCTGACGGCAAAGAGGCACTAACCATCGGCAGAAGGAGCAGACGTCAAGAAGACGAGGCAGCATGGGACGAAGGGGAAGCAGACATAATTTATGACAGGACTATCAAAGCGGATTCACTGCAGTCGGGTGGAGCACTCAAGCAGCTTGTGCCCCTACAGCCCTTGCCTGCTTTTCGGCGTCAGGAGACTGTCGCGCAACTAGGACAGTCTCATCTTCTTTGGAGGGTTCTCAGACTGTGAATAGGTGACGGTATACTGGCCAAACCAACATCATAAGCACCAACTTGGTCTTTTCACTACATGTAGGCGACTAATAAAATAAGGCAGTCCGCGCTTGAGTGGAAGCCATTACTAGGACTGCACGTCATGGGGCTGACATCCATGGTTTTGACTGCGGTACCGATTTTTTGAAGCGAGAACTTGCAGATGGATACTATTCTTCCAATAATGTAAAATAATTTCCTAATTCCTTGTTGTAGATTGGTGACCCGCGCCGATTCCGCTGCATTGGCTCTGGGCTCCAGAAGATAATCGCTTCGGCCAGACCACCTACTCGCAGCAAGAGCGGGATGAGCGGACCGAGTTCGTCTCAAAGAAATCGAAGGAAATGTGCCATGACTGGTAAGAACCATTATTGACTCTTTATAGATCAGTACTCTTCTTGAATTCCTTTCGAAGTGTGACGATTTCAAAGCAGATGACCTGAGTTGGCTATGAGGCGTCACGGGTTGATCTGCATACATTCACTCAGGTAGCGACTGCGGAGATGGGAGCGGGCTGTTCAATTTCTCGAGACACGGCAGCGACTCCGATGCCTGTCCTCGCACTCTGAGGCACGCCAGCCCGGCTGGATCCTCGGCGCTTTTTATGCCCATCCCCCGTTGCTGCGCAGGTTATTTTTTGTCAGTAAGCAGCGACAGGATGTGTCAGATAGTCAAGCCCTGAGCCACAGCTCATTTGTGACCTGCCATTGCAGAGACTTTCCGTGATATCACCTGCACGACAGTGATCGGCTCGAAGAATTGCTACATGTCCGCACAAAACATCTACGGTTCATACGCTCGGCAAAGGAAACACTTTCGACAATATGGACACCTCGTAACGTTTTCCTTCCTTTCTCTCTACGTGATATCTACTGCTGTAGTTCAAAGTAGCTAAGAATATCTGATCGTGAGCGGCGATGGGGCTGCAGGTCTCATAGCAGGCTCCCAAGCGAACCTCGGCAGGAAAAGTTGCTCCAAACACACAATCCCACTAGATAAATCAAAGCTCGATTTTTTATTAACGAAAAGGCCTCATAAACCACGGCATGATAGTAAGGAAACGCAGAATAGAACGTTTTCTGTTATGCATCAGTGCCGATGGGTTTACATTCATTCTTCTACCTGCCAGTTGTATGGACGACACTGGGTAAGAATTGGAAGGATGGCACGTGTAGCGATAGACCCTCTTTCCCCTAATGCCCAGCCATCAGAAACATTAGTCTTAGATTTTTCTCACTGCAAAGGTCAAGTTTGTATAGCTGGCTCCATAAAAAGGGCTGTCGTGAAATGAAGTCAATCTCCGATGATATCGGTGAATATAGAGAAAATATCAGTGAGTGTGTACTGTAAACTATCCTGTACTTCATGTTCTACTGAATTAAAGTGTTAGTAGTATTGTACTAACTTTTCACTACAAGGGAGGTCGTTCAGGGTGTGCCAAGCTTTTTCAAAATGGTTTCTTGCATGACATTGGGGCACATATGGGGACCACAGAAGCATGGTTCATTTTTCCTGAACGGCTCTCTGAATACCAGAAAAGGGGTCCCTAGTTCGATTCCTCGTGGTGACAATTTTTGCATTTCGAGTTGACGTTTCAAATTCGCGCAAAATGGAGTTAGCATGAATAATTAGTACCAATATTCATGATTAGGAACGTCAGTAACCCTTACAAATAGACTTTGATTGAAAAACTGGTGAAAAAGGTGTGACTAGGGACCCCCTTTTCTGGTATTCAGAGGGCCGTTCAGGAAAAATTAACCATGGTTCTGTGGTTCCCGCATGTGCCTCTATATCATGCAAAAGACCGTTTTGAAAAAGCTTGGCACACCCTGAAAGACCTTCCTTGTTAGAGAAGGACGTTCCAGAGTTTTCTTAGAAAATGGATATTGTAAACTATTTCGACCTTCATTCACCTATCATCCTCTTCCATAGTATGCATTCCACCACTGCCATCCCATCTCTCAGTCTCTTCGGCATTGAGTTTTTGTGTGGAAGTCCTGCCAGTGGGTGAAACGAGCTATTGCCATAGATCAGCACTTGTAAATTATTTGAGGACACTTTTTAGAGCTGTTCTGAAACTTTTCATCCATTTGTGAAGGCCACGCGATTACTGTTATATAGTTGAAATGAAACTTTCCAAGGATTCCCTATGGTCGCTGAACGTCTTTGGAGATGCTTCTTATGGCCCGTGCCGGGTGATTATTTTATGACCGATCAACTGATATGATATGATTGCAGACGTTTTATGACGCATTACGGTCAAGTATGCTGTTATGATGAAGCCGGATTTCTTATGCAGACACCTTATCAGCCAGTTATCAAGACGCAAAAGGAGTACTTCTACAATCCTGGATATCCGCTCAGAGCGTACGAGTTCGGCACACCGCCATATATGGGACAGTTTGAGGTGAGAACCAAAATCTTTATCCGATTTTTCAGAGTAGAATTCCTATGTTATTAATCTCTCGCTAATGATTGTTCGAGTAGAGGTTTAATTGTGGAGTGTGGATAAGAATTGGCCGGTCATAAGTTTGGCACGAATGTGCGTGCTTTCCGACAAAAAGGGTCTGACTGACATACGACTGGCCGAAACTTGCCATTAGGCGCTAAAAATATGGTATACAATGGTCTCGGTAAATTTTCATGCCACAAGTGCACGGCTTATCCGAAATGGCTTCCTCCAGAGACTTACTTGCTTTTCGCCCAATTTCCTACTATTCAGGGTCCTGGTCTATCAGTGTTCCATAACGACTATATGCCATACTTTTTGTGCTGCAAATTCGCCGACTTCCGATGCCAAATGTTCTACTGGAGGCGGCCGTCGTCGGCCTGCCAGGAGTACCAGCCACCTGCAACCGGTAGGTCTCATTCTTCATAATTCCTGAGAATTTGCGATCAAATGCCTTCTTTCAACAGGGCAAGTGTCCGGTGCTGGTGTCTTCAACACAATAGACAACGACAAGTTCATCTTCAACGAGCCTGGCGTGTGTACAACTTCTGTATGTTCCGAAACTGTTCGATCGCCTGAAGTTCGCGTGCAAGTCCGAATGGAGCAATATCCCAATAGAAAGGTGATTGATTGCTCACATACCACATCGGAAATAACCTTGCCTATTTTTGTTGTTTCTGTCCAATTGAGCGGAACCTGCGGTGACGCGGCGCATTGTTGTCTTTTTTCCTGCGATGGCTGCTTGGTTTTGAGGTTTGATGTTCGGCTTACTTTGGACGCGTACATTTTCACAGGCAGGCTCGCTTCAACCGGCAACAATGACACACTGTCATCACCGGAAGGAAGCACGCCATGCTTCTTAGAGTAATACATGGCGAACAATATTTTACACGTGAAATAGTGTGCATGTATGTACGCTAAGTGGCACGGCGTGACTGCTCCAGTTCATTAGCGGTCCCTTATATATAGTCAGTAAAGGAGAATTACGATGGAAATGTAACTTCGTATAGCATACATTATACGGTGTTAACGCTGACCTAGTTGAGGGACCCACGGACCTCCTGAGGGTGCGAACTGACGCGCAATTCGCATGGAAAAATTTGACCTCGGCGACCTATCATGCCTCAAAGCTGGCGGGTCCGGCGATCTCCGCCCACCGATCATCTGATCACTCGCCGTAGTTCAATACGTGGCGAGTGATTAGATAGCTGAGAGAGCGTAGTGTTGAAGAGGGCACAGCGATGAGAGTCGCATCAATGCTCGAATCAACGGGCAAGGAAGGGGTACCATTTCTCGGGTTCTGGGCCGTTTCTCATGGTTCTTCCTTCTTTCGTGTACCACTCACCATCCCTAGGTTAATTTGAAATGGGTTGCTTTTTCATCGTGAATTCGTCCTTTAAGTGTCTGTGCTGTGGTGTGTTTGAAAAGCGGAGTTTGGTAGCGCGAGTACCAGCAGAAGTGGATTTCAGACATAGTAATAGGGTAAAAGACGAGCTATTTGTGGGCGGCAGAAGGGGATAACAAATGGAGGAGGGGCTGATAAGAGGCGCAGTTAGGAACGCAGAAGTTGCCGATTCGTCTTAGTGGTTTCAAATGAAGGCCTCAGAATGAGAACATGAGAACGAACAGTTGCAATTGCAGCAATAAGGAACGAGGGGTCCTTTATTCAGTAAAATAGGCAGGTATTTGGCAAAAGGGTCCGATGGGACGAGTTAGACTCAAATAGCTATCGTTAAGTCACAAAATCACAGAGCGATCTCATTCAGGAATTGTTGTTAGAGGGCAGCATGTTACGATCGGAGTTATTGTCATGGCCAGGAAAGACACTCGACGTTTCCGTTATCGGACAGACATCATCGTTGGAAACATTCTTCCGGATACTTCGACACCATTCGACTTGCAGAGATTCAACGGTGAGTTCAACAGTCCAATTGAGGCAAATGCTAGGGCGAGTACGGAGTAATAGAAACCAGTGAATGGGTAGACTGGGAGCTGCAGTAGAGAGACATTGCCATGTTCGAGCTTGTTGTTTTACGATTATCGGTCGTTCGGACGCCGCGCAACCGCACGCGCTTCAAACAGCAAGTCGCAAACTTAGGCAAATGGGTCACCATGGCGTATTCGTGACATGTTGCAGAGGAAGACCTCATTGGCATCAACAGCGTTACCATGTCACGACAAGACGCGGATTTGTCCCGTCAGGGTTCAAGCTTTTGCTCATTTAGCCAAATTGTTGCAGAGATTGTGTGCGAAGAGCGGCTGTAAACGCACGTTAAAAACAGATCAAGTACTACGGTAATGCTAACCTGAAGAGCTTTGAATCCTTCACAAAATGTTACTGAATACTGGGACTACTTTAGAAAATCTAGGTTTTCCTTTTACTCTCACTCATCGCACTGTTTGTTAGCGTGTGTTCTCTGTCTGATCGTGGAACAACCCGTCGAGCGAGGCCAGCCGGAAATCTACGTCGTTCTGGAGGAAGCGCAAATTGGAATTCGAGTGCGTGAGAGCTATGCGCTCGACATTGACCGACTTCCAATGTATCAGGAGAGTATGGGCATGCTAGACGTCCCAATATCTGTCCCTCCGCAGTATGGAGTGGTGGGTCATTCTGTTGAATTTCTTGCGAAGTTTCAAATTATCTTTCATAACCCCTCTTCAGAGACCGCGGTGTGACAAGACCCGGGAGGCCGAACAGCGACAACGGTACGAGCTGCCGCGAATCAGCGGGCTCATGAGACCGTTCCCAGAGCAGAACAACGCCGCCGTCATGCAGGGACTCACGCTCAATGACGTCAATTCAGAAACATATCGGCAACAGATTATCAACAACTGTACGCGGGATGAATAACGCTCCTTTTAGCAACTAATCCAATGCTTGTGCATGTTCACGATCGAAAATCGGGGTCGGCTCGCGAGAACCGTCGCGCTACGAACAAACCATCGGCAGCTGGCGCAAAGGCCTTTTCGCAACGGGCAATATGTGACCACAAGCGGGGAAGGACGAGGACAATTGCAGTTTGTTGATGTGTGTCCCTGAAGCAAATTGCGCTCCCGGTCCCATCTTAATAATAATGGCCCCCTAATCTATGACACGTGAGTTCGAGCTCTGTTATTTAGTAATTTCTGATGGGGATCAGGTTGCGGGGTTTTTCTGGTATAGCGTTTGCCGAGTATCGACAGAGGCCCGGTTCGCGCGGCAAGAAGCAGCCGAGTCAGCGGGCACGTAGTTGCAGACGACCCGTACTGACACGAGCTTGTTCACTAAAAGGAATGTGCTAGTGTAAGTCTCATTGCACAGCCGCGCGCTGCGGCATCGTCCGCTCCGGACCACCTACTCCTTGGTCGCGGGCGACGGGTCTTCCTGTCGAAGGAGTACTCATAGCGGTTCCGCGTTCTACTGAAGTGAATGGGTTGCGTGTGCATGCGTTAACAAGCTCTCTGTTTTTTTAGTGGCCCGTACCGATTTGATCCCCAAACGGGGATGGACATCAATCAAGAACTCAGCAACTGCCGTGGCTTTCAGGGGGATGTGTCACGTGGGGCCTTGTATACCGGCCGATATTGTTGCTTTATGTATGAAGGGTTATAGGTGAGCAAGTGGTAGGGGGGAAAATGTCCGAAGGATGTTAAAGCAACAGTTCAGGGAGGGTCCGAAAATTTCAATGCCACTACTACTGAGGGATACACGAGCCCTAGTGAAGAACATATGCAGTGGAAATAATAAACGAACTTACCTCAGAAACTCAAAAACAGGGTGGAAAGTCCCTCAAACATGGGTGTTCTTGGGGATTTCCCCAATCCCGCCCCCTTGCCGGCCGTCATTGGACGCGTCGGCAATCGTGCTCGTTTTGGGACCACAGGGAAAATTGATTGAAAAATGGAGCGCGTTTACAGCGGGCACGTTCAGACAACTCGTCCAACGTGCGTCTTTATCCATTGCTGAGCGGCAGAGGGAGAGTACCTGTCTAAGACCCTCCCCGACGTTTTTTTCCAGTTTTTCATACATTAATCGTCTGGTTTTCATCTACAACTTCATTATTGGTGGTTTTTTCCCGCGAAACCGTTCCTGAACTGTTGCTTTAAAAAGGTCGCCTGGCCTTTCCGAAGAGGTGTACTGGGAAGAGGGTAACCGGAGCAATTTTGTTTGGCAGTGGTTCAATTTCATCGGGTCGGCAACAATTCGTAATCATTAGAAAAAACTCTGAAATGAATTTTGGTGTTCTGGAATCAAGACTGTGTGCGTGAAAAAACAA